AGCCTCGCAGCCAGGCATTCACCTCCAGGATGCAGCTGTCTCTGCCCGGACCCCTACCTTCGATCACTTGCCAGGTGCACAGAAATGGCCCGGCGGGCGCCATGGCACCCATGGGCACCGCATTGGGGATCACTGCACTAGGCTTTTGTGGGCTAGCCTGGGAACCTCAGCATTGTTTCTATGGGTACATCTAGATTACGTGCCTCTGCCAACTTGGCTTGTGAAATAGGCTACCCGACATAGTAAATGAATCGGGGATTTAAATATCCCCGGTTTAATTAAAATAAAAATGGCCGCCACACTGTGCCAGCTCAGCTGATCTTTGGCACAGCGCGCGAGTCAAGACGCGGATCTGTCAACAACTGCATGTAAAATAGGCTCCCCGACAGTCAATGAAGTGGGGATTTAAATATCCCTGGTTTCATTAAAATAAAAATAGCCACTGTGCTGTGCTGGCTCAGCTGATTGTCGGCAGCGCGCGAGTCAAGACGCGGATCTGTCAACAAGGGAAGCCTTTGTCGACCGCTCTCTTATGCCTTGTGGAACGAGGGTTACAGGTGGGGCGGCCCATCCATACAGGCAAACAAGGCGGTTGCCTAGGGTGCCAAGTTAAATGGGGCACCAAATGGTGGCGCAATATCACTGAGAGGTTTGAAGGTGGGGGTGCCGATTGCATGATTCGCCTAGGGCGCCAGTTGCTGGCAGCTAGTCTAGGGCTGACCCTATTTACAGGAGTGGTCGACAAAGGCTTCCCTTGTCGACTGATCCGCATCTTGACTCGCGCGCTGTGCCGACGATCAGCTGAGCTGGCATAGCGCGGCGGCCATTTTTATTTTAATGAAGCCGGGGATATTTAAATCCCCGCTTCACTGACTATAGCATGTAGCCTATTTTACATGCCTCTGTCAGCAGAGGCATGTAATCTAGATGTACCCAATGGGAAAAAGCATTCCAAGTTCCAAACAATCGCCTTGCAAATGAACTTTTGGAACACAACCCGCTGGCAAGTTGGGGACTTCCTGCACTTTGGCAGAGGTGTGTGCTTAAGCACCTTGTTGAAGAAGGGGTCCCTCAGCACACAGGGGGGCATTTCACCCTTTAGAAGATCAGGGGTCAACACTGCTGGGTGAGACTGGAATCAAAGGGGCTCATCCCATGAAATGAAATCCATTTCAGTCCTGTACTTAAAGTGGGACGAGAGGCTCCTCGCACCCGAAGGGGCTGGAGCGCCAACGGCTTAGTTAAAGCAGCATTTGAGCAAGGTGGGACTCTTCAGGCGATCTCTCAGGAAATCAGAGGTGATTTTTATTTATTTCTAACCTTCTCCTTCATGCTGCAGCAGTGGCGATGATCCAGGCCACAAGCCGGCTTCCTGTTTCCTGCTGTGGAATTGGAGTAACATCAGCTGACCACATAAAAGGAACCGAAGTAAGATGAAGTTTCACTCCTTCTTCTCTCACTCATGCTTGGAAAGGTTTTTCTGTTTGGTAGAGATAATAATTTAAGCCTACTTACAAGGAGAGAAATGGGAGAACAGGAAAACATTTTCCTTTTAATTCAGCAAAGTATACATGAAGAAGGGAGGGAGGGGCCCTAACCAAATAAAAAAAACCTAGTTGGTGGGCTGACATCATGCCTAGCAAAGGAAAAAACTGATCTTAAGGAAGAGCAATCTACGGAAGAACACCTTTCTGGAAAGGGTGTACCTGAGAAAGTAGAGTTTATTGTCTCTCTTATTCTTTAGAAGTTGGGGAGGAGGGAGTGATAGAAGTTAATTCTTTTTTTTTTTTAAACCTCCTCTGGAAAACATTGATAAGAGTTTTCTCCTTCCCTACCCCAAGACAACCAGCACTGAGGTCCCTGTGTGGTAGTCAGACAAAAGGCCAGCTCAGATTTAGTTTTGGGGCTTGCTCACCTCAAACAAAGTCCAGGCCTCTTGTTCAAGCTGGGATTCAGTGGAGGCTACTGCCCTACTTCTGACGGGAGTCTTTGAGAGTCTCCAACTTGCTAAGACTTGAAAGGCATCCGGGAAGGTAGGAGGGAGCTTCTGCAAAGTCTTCTATCAATGGGAAGGCTCATTTTCAAAGCTTTGATTTTTCCGGGTATTGGCACCCCTTCTGAGAGCGATTATTGCTTGGGGGAATTCCTTCTTGAAAGACCTTCACATCACTAAAGGGGAAGTCCCACTTTGAAGATTCTCACTAGAGATGGGCCAAACCTCCTACTTTGCATTTCGTTTTTTGCCTAGACCAAGTTTGTTCATTGCAAAAGTGTCTGGTTGGTGCCAAACTCTCGTAAAACAACGAGGTAACATGCTTACCGATGAGGCTCCTTGCCAATTGGGCACATATGTACATTTGACTGAGAAATCCATCAGCAATTTAGATAGCTACGTAATGTGAGTCTGGGTAGGCATACCTCCAGCTGTTGTGCTCATTTGATCTGGCAAGCTGGGGCAAGCTAGATTAATACTATATTAAGGAGAACACTTCCAGAGTTTGTCTTTGGCGGTAAATTCTAGAATGAAGCATAATGAGCAATGATGATGATTTTGATCTATTTTCTGGTTGCCTCATTGTAATTAGTACCTAAAAGAATGTCAGGGACCTAAAAGGGTGTTACAAGAAGGAGGGAGAAAAATTGTTCTCCTTTACCTTTGATGATAGGACATGAAGCAATTGGCTTAAACTGCAGCAGGGGAGGTTGGACATTAGGAAAAACTTCCTAACTGTCAGGATGTGTCTAGACTACATTCCTTTTTCGAGAAAGGGATGTAAATTAGGCACGTCAATATTGCAAATGAAGCCGGGATTTGAATTTCCCCGCTTTTTTTTCGAAACGGGGCTTTTTCAAAACCCCCATCCCCCGGCAGTTTAGATGGTGATCTTTCGAAAATAAAACTCTTTTTCGAAAGATCCTGTACTCCTCAAAAAATGAGGTTTACAGGATCTTTCAAAAAAGGGTTTTATTTTCGAAAGATTCCTGTCTCAACTGTCAGGTTTTTTTCCCCAAAAGTCCTGGTTCAAAAAAAAGCGGTGGCCGCCATTATGCAAATGAAGCACTGGAAATTCAAATCCCAGCTTCATTTGCAATATCAACGTGCCTAATTTATATCCATTTCTTGAAAAAGGGATGTAGTCTAGACACTCTCAGGATGGTCAAGCACTGGAATAAATTGACTAGGGAGGTTGTAGAATCTCCATCACTGGAGATATTTAAGAGCAGGTTAGAGGGGCATCTGAAAAGGATGATCTAGAGCAGAGCTTTCAACTTTGGAAGCTCTGGGAGCCACAATGATACTCACAGCACATGCCAAGGGCCGCAATTTAAGTGTGGTTGCATACACATGCAAATAGCTTCTTTTATACTAACGGGCATGAATACAAAGATTAAGGCAAGACTACACAACACACAGGCCCCATTTAAGTCTGTTCTGCTGATATTAATAAAATGCAATATTTACCCGATTACCACCCATATGACAGCACTTTTAATGACCAATGACAGTCCAGGAATTTAACTACGCATATCAACAGAAGACCATTATATAGACTTGCCATTGTGGAGCGTTTTCCCAGTGGAGGCCATGTTCAAAAGATCCCACCCGCAGGCTTCATGTTGAGACCCTCGTAAACACAAACCGCACTACAGGCTGCAAACAAATGTGCTGTGTGTTGAGTAGACCTGATCTAGATGGTACTGGGTCCTGCCGTGCGGGCAGGGGACTGGACTTAATGACCTCTCAAGGTCCCTTCCAGTTCTAGTGTTCTATGATTCTAGGATTCTGTGAATTACTTCGTTGCTGCTCCTCCAGTTCTATGCTACTCTGGATGATAGCAGTGACATCCCATTGAGACTGCCACACTTTGAACATGGTTGATGGCAGAGCATGGGAGACATTTTGTCCCAATTATTAGTT